TTTTAATTTTTAATATTTACGGAATTTATAAAAACCAAAATTTAAAATCCAAACCTACAATCATCTTAATAGAACCTCAATTTATCGTTTTCTTTTCCATAAAATCTCCATGACAAAAACCCTAAGCAATAAGTTGACCCTAAAAAGGAAAATTTTTCAAAATTGCCACATGCTACAATTTTAAAAGGGAATGCCATCGAAATAAAAAAAAACATACAGCCATTTAACTAAGTGACGGCACTTTATTCTCGTCGGGCTAATTTGCTAAGATTGAGGAGTTCAAAGGCTGCTAAACACGGTGAGCTCTTTTCATAGGAAAATATGGTAAAAACTTTATACGCACTTAACGTTCACATTTACGGTTATCATCTGAGTTGACAGTCTACCGGTTACAGCAGCCACTTCTTTTTCTTGGCCTTTTCTTCCCAGATTTTTCTCCTCTTCCCAGATTTTTCTCCTCACCTGACACTTGCTCCCCTAAACCGCATTAATTGTTCAATCAGATTGTCTATCTTGGAACAACGAATGCTACGTGTATCCATCACATGCACAAATCAATTTTTCAATGAAAATATCTCTGACAAGTTTCATTTGCCCTCTTTCTTTTTGCCTTTCGGCAGAAGTCTCTTCTGCTTGCTTCTTTTTTGACACAGGCCGTCTGTGATGTCGCAAAATACTGTATCGGAAGAGGATAGCACTGAATGAGATATAGCTATAAAAATTAATTATTATTAATAATTTACGTTTGAGGTTTTCCAAAATCATGTATTTTGACTCAAAAAATTATTAATACAGTAATAAAATTTCACTTAAATTATTTTTCCATTGATATATAAACAATTTCTTATTTGTACGCTGCCTAAGCTGATTGAAAATAGTAAAAATAATATAATTATAATATTATATAATATTATACATTTATAATATTTTAATAGAAAACTTAATTAATTAAGATATTAAAATTTTAAATTAAAAATTTTATATTTAAATATTAAGTTTGAGTAAAAAAGAATTTAAAAAAATAAAAAATATCAAAAGAATACTCATATATCTGTTTATGGTGAACTGAGGGAAAAATTCTTGACAAGCAACAAAGATCTAACCTAAACATTATGCTAATTGCGTTCTTGTTCAGTGGTTCTTATTGGGACTACCTGATACATGAAATGAGATTTTTTTTTTTTAGCAAGGGTAATTTCACGGGAAAGGAGATGGGAATGGGTTCAATTCATGGATTGAGAGAAGTACTTATAATCCATAGACTTAGAGTAAAGGTGCAAATAAGGATTCCAATTTTGCATTTTTTTTTATTTAAGGATGTTAATTTTGACAGTTTCTAAATGAGGATGCAACTTTCAATTTTTTTCTAAATAAGGATGTTAACTTTGTCAATTTCTAAATAAAGATGTCAACTTTCAACTTTTTTTTATTTAAGGATGTCAACTTTCAACTTTTTCTATTTAAGGATTAATTGAATAGTGATGTTGACGTGGCTAATATATTTTTTAGGTTAAATACCTAAATTGGTCCCTCAACTTTTATTTTTGAATCAATTCATCCTTGA